GTGTGCGAGAACTACTGACGGTCACGCTCACCTTCATGTTAGCCCTGCACACACATCTGTCATCACATAGAGATCTAATTAATTAAGCACTGATGAATCACACTGGAGCTTTATCAATCACAGCTATCGCACATAACTCAGCTCAGGATGGGATCCCAACCTTCACCCAGCGATACAAGTTTACTCAAAGTCAACTGATGGATGTGATGACAGGGAGGTGTTTAAAACATACATCAGCTACATTGCCTCAGTAAATGTGAACATCTCGTGTCATTACGGAGCTCAGTGCAGACCGTCCTTCAGCCTGTGCATAAATCAGAAGTGTGATGGCAATATGTAAGATACATCAAAGCTGCACCTGTTGTGTCTAATGTCGAGAGGGAAGTTAAATACTCAGCAACACTTTCAATGTCATCACCGGCGGCGGCTCCAGGATCTTTTGACTGCCTCTAGTTATTTGGAGAAATCACAATCTGTGTACTGCACTCACATGTATTTAATCAGTCACTCAGAGATCAGGAGATTAGGTGAATAAAGATATCTAACAGGGAAAATTGCACAGTTTTGCTAAAAGCCAATATTTCAATGATGTCAAATTAGTCATTCAGTCTGTCTCTTTATTATATTCTGCTTCTCTTTGATGCGTCCTTATTATATTGCCTTATGTTTTTATACTGTTTGCTTATTGTTCTTCTCTTTGCTTTTGTACAGTTCTATATATCCAGGATCTATATATATAAATCAACAGGTGATTTCCTTCTTTTAGTAAAATCCTAAATGACTGAGTTGGGGTTTTTTCCACCTGGACATTTATGCTTTGCCATCTCTCCTCTAATCATCACGCTGTAACCTGTGACAGGCTGTTATGATACTACAACTATCACACATTCACATATATGGAGTTTTTTGTTGAGCCGAGAGCATCACATAGGTTTACATTACCAAAGGTTTGTGACAAAATCACTTGACAACACCAACTCCCTTGTGCGCACAGTGAGAGAGGAGAGGGAGAGATGTTGTGCTGCTGCCAGAGGAGCCGCTGAATGAGTTCCCTCTGAGTGGTAAGTCACTAAAAGAGTCTGAGAAGTCCAGGGCTGTTAATAAAACATTCAGGACGCCACAGTTTATTCCACACTACTGAAGCTGCTCCTCTTTTTGGATCCACCACGGAGTCTGTGATAATTTCGCTTTCAGCCATGCTTGCTGTTGGCGTGGGTGACACTATGACGTCAATATGTCAAAATATCGCAAGTATCACCATATGAATTTTTCATATGATAGCAAAAATTATACTGGTATTATGAACAAGATGATATGGCACACCCCTACATGTAACCCTACAGAAAGTGATAAAGGAATCCATAATCTTTCAGAGAACACACCAGTAGTCACAGCTCCTTTGGATTTATAACAATAAAATAATATCTCAACAGTTAGGTCTACTTAACCTGCTTTCACAAATAACTACAGATTTGCAAAGACCGAACTCAGTGCACAGAAACACTCAACATATTATATCCCCTTCATTTCTGCAATATCCAGGTTTTGGGATGAGAATATGAGGTTGCCAGCAAGCACAGATTAACATCACAGAGGTTTGTAAGCCAACACATTGCACCACTACTTGCAGCACATAAAGAATTCATGCATTTTGACAACAAAAATCACTTACGAAGAAATTCTGGTGCAAACACGTCACACATAAAACACAAAAAAATTAGACAGCTGCACAGTATACAAGCTAACTTCACAACCGCAAACTTTATAAACAACTGTAGCATTAGGCTAATAAGTGATATAACTGATAACAGTAAAATCCCAAAACTTGATCTATGTGCAGGGTTCCCACACATTTTCATAGACAAAATTTCAAAACTTTTCCATGACTTTTTCTTTTTGAGCACCCATGATAAAAATTTCGGTAAAATTTTGGAAAAAATACCTGAATTAATTAGCAATATTTACATAATTTATTTATCTTTTAATGCAGAGACAATATTCATTGCGCCTCCTCTGTTTACAAAAAAGGGGGACTAGCATTTGTAATTTTGTATTATTGCCAACTGTCTATCCACAATAAATTACTGTTTGTTTGTTTGTTTGTTTTTACAATTACTTACAGTAACTAGTAACGTCACCTGTAAGTCCTTCCGGCTGCAGTAGCTTTCAATTAAATAAGCAAAAACAACAAACATTACAAGGTGGTAACAGAACAAGCTGTCTTACCTTTAATAAAGTCTTGGCTCTGTCTTTGGGCCACAACATGGAGGGGTGGGGCTCACAGGTGCACACAGGTCCGCTGATTGCTTCTCCAACGGCAGCTGTCACTTTAGCAGCATTAGCTTAGCTAGCATCAATACGAACCACAGAATATCGGTCACTGTGATGCTAATTTCTCCCGCTGTGTCGCTGTTTCGTTCCTCCGAGTAGTCCTCAAAATATTTCCTCCTCAGTAGTGTTGCTGTAGTTGTTGTTTTCTCCGCTGACATCCAGTATCGTCTCCCAAAATTAGACCGTTTTCAGCCCGTTATCTGAGGATAACTTAGTTTTAGCGAGCACGCGCAATCACAGTTCAACCGGAACGAGCGCAGTGTTCGTCACGTCGGTCACGTCCAATGACGTCGCGTTTGTTCAGTGCAGCAGCGAAAGCCGTTTTAACATTTAATAGCTAGACTGTATATTCATTACTGATATCTGCAACATAATTTTGCCTGTTCAGGATATCTGTAATTAGATTTTGAATAGTCAAAACTCACATTTAAGATATCTGTAATTCAGTTTTGACTAGTAAGATTCAAACTACTTTTGCCATTCATGTGTATGGGGTTTCTCATTATAGATATCTCCAGTGCAGTTGCAGATATCTGAAGTTCTTATTGCGGATATCTGCAACTGAATTGGAGATATATCTAATTCCAGTTTGAGATATCTACAATTTAATTTTGACTAGTCATAATTCAAGTTCAAGATATCTTTAATTCAATTGAAGATATCTACATGGTCCTTTCAAGATATCTTCAGATAGTCAGAATGAAGTTGTAGATATCTTGACTTTGTCAAAATTAAATTGTAGATAATCTCAAACTGGAATTAGAGAGGTCTCCAATTCAGTTGCAGATATCCGCAATAAGAATTACAGACATCCGCAACTACATTGGAGATATCTATAGGAGAAACCCCATACACATGAATGGCAAAAGTAGTTTGAATCTTACTAGTCAAAACTGAATTCCAGATATCTTAAATTAGAGTTTTGACTAGTCAAAATCTAATTAAAGATATCTGTAACTGTAGTTTAGACTAGTCAGAATTATGTTACAGATATCTTAAATTAAAATTCATACTAGTCACAATGACATTCAACGACTAATCAAAATGGTGTTGTTGATATCTATAATGGTAATTCCTGATAGTCAAACTTAGCGATTAAATGTTAAAACGGCTTGCCATAGCAGCGCCCCCGTGTGGCGGGGAGAGCTATACAGAAAAGCACAGGAACAAAATGTAAGAGAAACATATTTATTCAGAAAATAACTAGTAAGTCTGATTCCAGATAGTTAAAAAAAAATCTTTCGCTTTCTTCATTAAATATCCAGACAGCTAATTTTCAACGTTTATTCTGCCTCCATGCCAGATATAGTTGGGTCCGGAGCCATTTTGTTTTCCGGTTGTACATCCTTACATCCCATTCTCGTGACTGTGATATCTCACGAACATCTGGAGGGAAGTTCTTCATATTTGGCACAAATATCCACTGGAACCCAATAATGAACTGATTAGAATTTGGTGGTCAAAAGTCAAAGGTCAAGGTCTCTGTGACCTCACAAAATATGTTTATGGCTATAAATGGAGGATTAATTGTCAAAGGTCAAGGTCTATGCATTCTCGGAACCCATCGGCTGTATTCGGCGTCTGACTTCCGGCAGACGGCGATACAGCCTCTGGGGGCAGATCCCTGATTTTTTGGCATTCCAGTTTGATTTGGGCAGAGGAGGCAGATTTCCGTTTCCGACTTCCGTTTATATATAAGTAAATATGCTGAACCATTGCGATGGATTCAGAGTTTGCAGTGACGCCAATTATGTTCCGCCTCATTAGTTCACCACACGGACCCTTTAACCTGGCAACATCTGCAGCCGGCTCAAACGTGATTGGTCAATATCATGCGGACTACAAACAGCCTACAACCGGAAACCAGGGCTCTTCCGCTCTTCTTCCGGAGGCAAGATCTCCGGGGTTTGCAGACTCTACATTCACTGAATGTAGAGTCAGTATATAGAGACTAAGGTCTATGTGACCTTGCATCCGTCTCATTCTCGTGAATGCAATATCTGAAGAACACCTTGAGGGAATTTCTTCAAATCTGACACAAACCTCCATTTGGACTCAAAAATAAATGACTACAATGTGGTGGTCGAAGGTCAAAGGTCACTGTATCCTCGTGGCTATAACTCAAGAATCAATGCACCAATTGTGACAAAATTTCATACAAATGTTTAATATGATAAAATGATGAAGTGATGACATTTTATACCCGAAAGGTCAAAGTTCAGCTTCACTGTGATGTCATAATATTCTGCAAAAACACTTGTCTGACCATTAATTCAACATCATATCTCAGGAACAGAAGGGGACACATTTGCTCAAATACTTAATTGGTGACTCTAATCGTGGGTGTCCACCTTGAAAGTGTGCTGATTGTATATATCCTGTGCTGCCAGGTGGAAACGTGTGTGCGAAACATCCATGTAAACTGTAACTGCAACTTGACTGGTTTGCGGAGGCATACAAACACAAGGAAACTACAAACAACAAAACTATAATAACTCTGGCAGGACATGTGCTGTAGTTCATCTAAAGGCTTTCCCTCAGTGTGGAGGAAACAAAGGACTGATAGATTCACAGATTCTACAGTCAATAAACGGATATAATCATCATCAAACAGGAAACCGAATCACTGTAAATCTGGCAGGTAACAAAATCAACACAGACACAAGTCATCAAAGCGTGTGTAGTTTAATCTTTTATAAATTACACTCACATTGTACCACAGCGTATAATAGTATCAATACATCCTGAGCAGACATCAATATTTCAACAATTTCGTTAGACAGAGACTTTAAAGCACCAATCAGAAAGAGCACAACGTGAAAATGACAACAGCATTGTTCAGAAATTTTATAATGAATCCTTACTTTTTCTACTGATTATCTTGTGCTTATTACTCCTACTGGACCTGGAGTCTCTATCATCACAGCCTTGCGGCCTCTCTGCCACACAGCTGGCAATAAGCACTCATCTGTATTTTCAAAGCAAAGTTAGGATTCATTTTAATGTGTCTGAACAAGGCCACATCAGCAAAAGTTCATAAAAGTGCTCCGAACAAGAGAAGGCTCAGTAGTTAGACAACATGCAGATAAAAATGTGGTGTAGAGCGTTAAAAAAGAACTGGTACAAAACAAAAAAATAAGCAATTACTAAAGCACAAAAAGTGCCTTGCAACATTACCAAGTCTTAATTTGATTATAAATTATAAATCACAGTCACTTGTAATTGTCTTGTAGAAAACATTTACCTCTGATCCAAGTTCAAAAGTACAAATAGTTCGGATGTATAAACAGACTCGCAGGCTTTTAAAAAGATCTCGGATTTTAAATGCCTGATCATTAAAACTTAATCTAACTTTGAATATTTAGCACTTATCAAAGTGTACCAGAAGTTTCTATCTGTGCTGGTGGATTGAACCCAATGTACACAAAGCATACACACCCTCCAATACCTACAGTATTCACATTCAGACTAATAAGGCTGCAGTGTAAATAAAAGGCCCCTAACTGTTCATACTTGGTTTGCTCTCAAACACAAACATGAAAAATTAAAGTTAAAAAAAAAAAACATCACAGCATGAACGAATGCACTTCATGACTTGTAACGGATAGGCGGACGCGCACGATATCATATATCAGTCACAGAAAACGGAGTGGAAAGCCTCTCGTGTCACATGCAATAAACATCAGCCCTAATGCAACTTGGATTAACACTCATTATTCACATTTGATGCAGGATCACATATCTTTATCCTGTTGATATTAATCTCTTGATTAGATATTAATGATTTAAGAGATCTGCTTGCGAAGACCTGATCGTCATCAACGTTTTTTTAAGTACACATTTTGCTTTTTTTTTTAGAAAAGATTCTGCTCTATTCTATCTACAAAACCCACGTGTTTGTAAAACAGAGAGACTGGAGCAGGAGTTTTTCTTAGTGCATCTTCTCTCCCAACTGCTGATCGTCGCTGGAGCAGTTTTCATTTACAGCTGGTGTAAACTGGTAGCTAGCAGAGTCATTTAATGGTACAAAAGTGAAAGTGAATGTCTGTAATGCTCTATTAGAATTAGGGCTGGGTATAAGTGCTCAATACCTTTAAGGTATCGACCAAAATAAGCCAGTACCAAGTGGTATCGAAACGTTTTCAGTCAAACGATACCTGCATTAGAGTCCGATCCCAGACTGTTCCAACTCCACTCCGGATCCGCAAACTTTCTGTTGCTGCCATCACCAGAGCTGCTCTCCTCTTTTCAACGTCTACCTGGTGGGCATGAGCTAACACGGCAGCAGCTACTAAAATTAAATACCAAGCAATTAAAAGGATAGTTGGGATTTTTTCAAGTACTTATCCATACTCAGTGGATTACATACAGAAGATGTCAGTCGGCACACTAGCAGTTTGGAGAAGAAGGCTGGAGTCGACACAGGGGTTAGAAACAAAACGTATCATAGCCACCTTAAAAAAATCAGTATCCGTTTAAGTGTAAGATACACTGAGTGTTTTAACCACTTTACCTTTCTGTCAGACAACCCCTTCTGATGGGGAAGCCATTAACGGCCTCAGTACTCCATCTATGCTCTCGTCAAAGCCACCAGACCCCATAGAGAAAAACAGTCATTTTAGCTCACTAAAACACGGGAGCTGCTGGTCCACCGCTGCTTCGATCAGTTAGTCAGTTTGTGTTATTGTGTAACTTTAGTGTATCTAAACTAACCATTTCAAAGCCAAAGTCACACAATAAGTACAACAAACTAACTGATCGAGGCAGCGGTAAACCAGCAGCTCCCGTGAGCAAGCACGCAGCAATGTTAAATCACTGTTTTTCTCAGTGGAGTCTGGTTTGAAGAGAGCATTATGACGGCTTCATTTCCCTAATGGAAATCACTGTCTGACATTAAGGTACAGCAGCGAAAATATTCTAAATATAGCGTACACTTAAACTGATATTGATTTTTTTTAGGTGGGATTTTTTAGTGGGCTAGGATACAGTTTTCTGCTGACCCCTTCACAGCAGCATATTGCTTAGCTTCCATGACTGACATCTACTGTTTGTAGAATACTGTCTATGGATAAGTACCCCACACAACCCCACTTCAAACAATCTGAACTGTGCCTACAGTTAGGTAATATTAGCCTTGTGATGCTAACAGTTAGGCCTGTCTGTGTGTGTGCAGCTGCGTGGACTCTGACAACTGTCCCCAGTGTGGAGCTCACATTCCCTCAGCAGCAGCTACAACCCATACAGTCTGTGGTGTAGTGAAGTCAAGCGCAGCATATTTAACGGAGTTCAGCGTGCTGCAATGCCATCAAAACTTTTGCCACCTTATTTACATTTTAAATGAAGCACCTTTTGGTATGTGCATATTTTAAGGTTACTGGTATAATGATTTTATAAACGATACCCAGCCCTAATTGCAATGCTGGTGACTAGCGTCGGCCTGAATGTCGAGAGAATGTAGTGAAAATGTAAACCTAATATCAGAGGCATTTGATTCTGGGATGCCACAGCTTTGACTTTAAGCCTTGTGCAAGCGTCCATTATATTTCTGTGTACAGTCTGTGACTCTGTAGGGTGCGTAAGACAAATGTAGTGTTTGGTTAGATCATGCTTGGTTCTTTTCCTTTTTATTTTTTTATTTTCAGCGTTCACAACGTCACACCACCCTCTGCAGGATGTAGAGGATGCCGATGTTGTCGATGGTGACGAAGATGGAGAAGTCGGACGAGACATGGATCTTCTTCAGAGCGGTTCCCGTCGGAAAGAAGGTCTGCAGGGCCTCGCCTTTCTCCACATCCCACCACTGGACAACACACAGAGAGAGAAAGACAGGGAGACTATTAAAATGTGTCAGGCTTTTAACGGACGCCACTGCTGCAGAGGAAAAATAATCAAAGAATAATGTTAATTAGTGAAATTCAGAGGTGCTGATAGGTGGATTGTGTTACCTTTAGACACAGCCAGGCTAACCATTTCCCCGTTTCCACTTTTCATGCTAAGATAAGCTAATTAACTGCTGGCTGGTTCGCATAAGGAAATTTACATGTATTTTGGTATTCATCAATATGTTCGCAACCCCAGACTTTCTCATAGGTACTAACAAAATCTACGCCTGCTTCTGACTGCTTGTAGTGCTTGTGTATCAAAAAGGAATGCACATGAATATTGCTTGTCATTATTAGAAATTACAATTTTAATCAATGTGCTCATCTGCAGCTGTGACTGGGAAGATCGTCCTTCTGTAACTGTCGTTTTTTTTGTATGTAGTTATGCATTTTTTTGTACCAAGTTTCATACTGAACCATTTTCGTTTAACTTTTTTGGATGGTTCTTTCAACAGAGGACACAGTTAACGACATTCTTTACCTCCTTTTTAGCCTTTGATTTACCTGTCCCTGTCACACCACTAATAAAGAAAGAACAAACACGGTTGGTTTCCAAGGCATTCATGAATCAGGTGTAGGTTTTTAGCACTAAGGTTCTCATTGAATACTGCTTATCCCAGGTCTGTCTTGAAGATGCTTGACTACAAGTATAACTTTTTATTTTTGGCTACGACAAATCAAACGTGTCTAAAAATGATCACTGATGCACAATCCAGTTGACCCAGCGTAACAGTCACAGGTGTGAATTTCATGCCAACTGGAGGTAATTTGTCTCAGATCTCTGAAGTCGTGCTGTCTGCACTCAGCTTTATCGGAATCAGAACTCTGAGACAAAGACAGGAAGACGGGGACTGACTGAGAGCTTTGTATCTGCTGCCAAGGAGACCATGATGAATTTAATAGTATTATATTACCAGACTCAAACTCACTTACACACGCACACGCACACAGACACACCCTCAGGCTCCCTCAAACACACAGACACACAGACACACATATAACCCCCACCAGCTTTCCTGAGTGATTCCGTTTAATCTCAGTTTAAAGTTGACATTTTCCATTGAACCTCCATCTCACTGGGATGAATCATCAAAGGCACATCAAGTCAATCATTTATAGTCTGGCATGTATGTGTGCATGTGTGTGTGCGTGTGTGTGTGTGTGTGTGTGTGTGTGTGTGTGTGTGTGCACGCACATCCCACTTTGACAATAACTGCAATAACTTCACATCAAAATTGTCCCTATTCCATCTGAATAAAAGACGACATGAATTAAATCAATAGATTGAAGCTTTAGTGGCGTTGTGTGTGTGTGTGTTTTCATTTTTCTATAGCTTTAGCGACTCTGCGAGTGCGTACTCATGTGTGTGTGTGTGTGTGTTTGTGAAAGAAAGCAGGCCAACTCCCGAGTCTCTCGACAGACAGGCGGACAGACAGACGAGGTGGCGGCAACAGATGTCTAGCTTACAGACCAATCCCAACACACACAAGCACGAACACACACACATAAACACACGCACACACACACACATAGCCCATTAATCACGCAAAAACATTCCACATCATTAAGGAGAGCTCATTTGCATATTCCTGATATGGCATTGAAACGCACATGCCTGAGGTTTTCTTCATTTTTCTCCCCTGATTGTTATGCTATACCGCGGATATACTGGTGTGTGTGTGTGTGTGTGTGTGTGTGTGTGTGTGTACACTGAAAAATTGCCCAGCATATTTCTGTTGCTGCAGGGGGTTGGCCATACTTCTGCTGATTGGACATCCTCCACAGCAACCATCATAATATCATATGCGCGCGCACACACACAAACACACACACATATTAATCCAACTGGTTAACTGGAAATGGAAAGACTTCACAGTGACATTGCCATCCCTGTCACAATACGTAATCACTACTGAGAACTCGCTAAAAAGAAAACAGACAGAAACATATTTAATGGCATTGACTGAGAGGGAAAGTAACAACAGTGTTATGGGGCAGAGGGATTAACAGGGACCAACGGATCACTAAAACAACACTCTTTACCTCATGGTTTGCTGCACACCACCTTTTTAAAACTAGGCCACTTATTCATGAGGTAACATGAATCCCAGTCCCATTAATTTGCTTCTGAACTTTTTCTTTTTGAAAACAACTCTCACTATTGTCACTATATTTGCTTCTTCTCTCACACCTGCTTATCAACATTAAAGGGACAGTTCAACCTGAAATCAAGTGCTATTTATCTAGATTGTTTTGGTGTGAGTTGCCGAGGGTTGGAGATATCAACCGTAGAGATGTCTGCCTTCTTTTGAGTATGATGGAACTAGATGGCACTCAGCTTCCAAAATACATTTGGAAAACTCAACAGCTATGTCTCTTTCCAGAAATCATGACCTGGTTACTCAAGATAATCCACACACATTGTTGTGAGCAGCTTCATGTAGGAACTGTTTTCTTTCTACCAAACCACACCTGTCAACCTCATAACTGTGCAGAAGGAAGCGTGCATCTACTCCTAGCTTGCCTAGCACCACTGAGCTAAGTGACATTGCAGGTCAGATGATGAGGACATCTTTAATGTTTACATTCCATGCTGTCATAAGCATGAGCCTCTTGTCCATGAGTAGATGCACTCTTCCCTCCTTTAGCAAACAACAGTACACAAGCCATCCGTATCACCACTCAGAGGGAAGTGTGCATCTACCGCTAGCTCACCTAGCACAACTAAGCTAGCTAACGTTACAGCTTAGCCAAGAAGAACTCCATTAATATTACTCACTGTCACTAGCATGAGCCTCTTGTCAATGAGTAGATGCACATTTCCTTCTGCACAGTGATATGGGTGGCAGATGTAGTTTAGTAGAAACAAAATAGTTCCTACACGAAACTGCTCACAACAAAGTCTGTGGATTATCTTGAGTAACCAGGTCATGATTTCTGGATGGAGACATTGCTGTTGAGTTTTTCAAATGTATGTGCAAGCCAAGTGCCATTGAGTTATTGACTGGTTTGACATCTTTTCAAAGCTCTGATCAAGCAGTAAACCCATATAAATGCTTTGCGTATTTAAAAATGAACCTATTTAACGGAGGCCTTCTGACCAGTAGACATTAATAATTCACCGTGCAAAGAAAAATCATGCTTTCTGTCCTCATACATGTGTCCATCTCTGGCTCATCACCCACAATCACCCAGGAATCAGACATGAGAATATTTTCCACAGCACACTATGAAAAAATATTTAATATACATAAATGCAATTAGTGGCTGTTTTACATA